AGCCTGAGTCACCGTCCTCTCCCCGCAGGACTGGGCCTAGTCTGCTATGGCGGGACCGTCTTCCCCAACAATCCACTCTGCGCACAGCGGCCCGACTTGTCCTTTCAAAATGGACGTAAGCTCAAGCCACCCCTCCTCGCGGACCCTCCCGTGCGTGGCTCCCCATTTCCCTCAGCTTAGTGATCTGCCCTCCCGTCACCCCTTTGACCTCTTCTCCTATGATGGCCCCTGACTCGCGGCCCCAGCCACGACGGTCTCCCCGCTGCTGCGTTTACGACGCAGTCCAGGACCCGGCCGTTCTGTCCGCGGGCCCAGCCCTGGCTGTCCCCTCCGCCCGCTACCGTCTTCCCCAGGCAGCCACATGATGACTTCCCCGCCTCGCTCAAGTCCTTGTTCACACACCATCTTCTGATTAAAACTCCAGCACTTCCCTGCGGTCCTTGCCCTGATCAGCTTTTATTTTTCTGCACCACGTATTACAGAATATTGGAACATACTCTAACATATTAGCCAATGTACTCATGTGTCATATTTACCGTTCATTCTCTGTCTCCACCCCGCTAGAATGTTCGCTCCACTGGGCATTTTGTCTGTATCCCAGGCCCCCGGAATAATGTCCGGCACGCAGCGGGCGCCCGATGCCTGCTTGTTGAGTGAAATGAAGTGACGAGCGGGCCAAGTTCCCATCCCCAAAGCCACACTCCCACGTGCCGGATGCCCTGCTCTTCTGGGCTGCAAACCCGGGGAGGAGGACCTGAGGGACTTTCCCCTAAAACGTCCTACAAAGCCTTCTTAGACTAGTGTTCCTTCTGCGACAACGCGGGTCACTCCAGTACACCGGAAACCTCCTGCCAAGGCAGCCTGGATACAGCGCCGGACGGACTGAAACCAGTGCACAGTTCCGGGCTGTTCCCTTTGGCTGAGACCAGCTCACGTGCCAAGATGTGGCTGAACCACACGGCCCTTCAGTCACCAACAGCCACTTCCTGCCATCCTCCCCAGAAGAAAGCACTACAGCGTAAGCATTGCTGCTTTCACAGCAGTCCCAGCCATCGCACAGTAAAAAGTTTTTCTTTTTCACAGGAACATGCTTGTCCTACGCCCTAAGCGGGCATTCCAGGTAACACGCGCACGGGGTCGGAGCCGCCGCGGGGCTGGGAAGGTCGCGCGACACCACAGGCCTAGTAGTCCCCAGTCAGGGGAGCTCCTCGGCGACATCCCCGGCGGACGTCTCCGCTATCGCCCCGCTTCTGCTAGTAGCTGGCCGCTCCCTCCCATCTCCGGCCACAAGACCCAGCCTCGGCCCCCCCC